CTATCCTCCTTTACCCACATGGTCCAACATGACTGAGTACCTACTCCATGTAAGGCAGAGCTCTCTTATCTCTACTCACAGCCAACAAAGTCAGTCCCCCTCCAGTTCAAAGGGGGATAAGTATGGTCAGCCCAATTCCACCCACCCCACAGTGCCAGATCTGATGACTCAAAGTGGCCCATCAGGCACTAGCATTCTATTTTCCACCTCCTCCTCCACAAGGTCTCTTTTCTCCCAAACTTGCTGGAAAAATCATCCTTTGGCATTTTTCCCTGTGCAGGAAGCGACTCAAGCCAGCCAAGGGGCCAAAGGAAGCAGGAGATCAACAGGTGAGTCAAAGCACACGCCGCAGGGACACCTAGCCTTGGAGAAAGCCCTGGCCTTCAGACTCATCTTCCCATCTCAGCCTGTCTGGCTATGTTGCACCTCTCAGCTCCTTCCAGTTCCTAAATTCCTTCTGTTGCAATAGATTTACACAGCCCGAGGGAAAAGCAGTTCTCCCTTCTGCTCCCCGAGCCTTCTTGCCACTGGAGCCACCACCCCCCTTCGTTTAAATCCCATTGGAGAAGCCACTTCCTGGCATTCCTTTCTTGTCAACTCCAAAGCAAGCTCCAACCACTGCATTTCTGCAATCATTCGATCAGGCCTCCCAATTAAGGAGTTTGCAACTTCTGCTCACCTTGGAAATCACTGCAAGATCTGAGACGCAAACAACACTCTGTAACCCAGACATCAGGGGAAGCACAGAGCAGACAAATAGCCTGTGTCAACCCTCTCCTCTTAACCCCTCCCCCAGACCCACAGTGACCAGGAGCAATTAGTGCTTTCTGCCTTGCCCAGCTACATCTCCACTGAGATGGCTCCCCTGTAATATTAATTAAAAACAGATTCTTTTTGGCAGCCCCTCGAAGAACGGCTTCTGTGGCAGGTTTCTTTATTAAGCCTCTGAGAAGGCAAAATGCATTAAGAAATTATGACATGGGGACTGTGAGCACAGACAATGAAGGCTAGACAATCCAGCCAAAAGCTATCTGAGAAATCTGTTTGGGAGCCACAATTAGATGCTCCAGTGCGTGGAATACAATTAATCGGATCAAATCTGTCACTATTTTGCACATTAGGAGTAAATATTTTAGAGCACAGTTCAGCTGAATTAGTTAAGGGTATGAAATCCCAACTGGGAGAATCCGTGTGCCCCCACCTGCTAGCATGCTCAGGGAAGGGTGGTCTGATAGGAACCCGGAATTGCCAGCATCTCTCATTTCTCTTCACCAAGCTGCAGTGTTGGGCACATTAACTGAAAACTATCTGGCAAGTGGTTCCGACCAGATACACTGCAGGGGCAGCAGCCTGCAAATCCATGCTCTGGGAGTGAGCTGCTGGAAAGGAATGGGGATCCATCTAAAGAGGGGCAGCACTGCCACCTCAATACCAGGAATGGAAATCCCCACCAAGGATTACTCCGGGGAGGAGGGGGCATGGAACATGGGCGGTTGCCTTCACAACTCTCCACGGCCATTTGCCAACTCCCTGACCAAGCAGAGGGGTATCTTCCTTCCTTTGTGGGAGAAGGGCAGAATGATGGTTTCCTGTTCCCCTGGAAACCACGGGGACTGGGCTCTCTCTGGGTGCCACATCCTCTAACCCATTCATCACCAGGATCCCAGCTGGAGATAACCAGAGAGAATGAATGGCAAATCACTCAGGTTCCAAGTTCAAGTCCACTTATCTCTCCCCCAGAACACCTGGCAGGGCAAGAACAATAAGTGGGG